ACCCTAAGATCTGGATATCTCAGTCATCCCTGAGCACTAGGGCTGGGCAGTACGGCCTAAAATCAATTTCACAATATATTGAGGAGTTCACCTCGATAGCGAAAAATGGACGATAACTGCATGCATGCACAAAGACAAAAGTTGTCCACTAGATTGGGTTTTCACATGTATTACATCAAGTCACGTTGTCTTGTGACTTGAGGTGGTGCAGCTTCTTAAAGAGACATGAACGTCTCCAACCGACGCACATCTTTTTATTTTTTTATAATCAAATTTATTTGGTAATATGGGAAAAAAGATATCAGTTAGAGACAGAGATTTCAATATTCATACATTTTTGATGCAGTGCCCAGCCACACTGAGCACCATAATAGATGTATATCATTAAAATGACTATTGCCATTTTCCTCTTTTCCTCAACCTTCAGATCTGACCATTCTTCTTAATGTCTACCGGGATCTCTCCATCAGTTCACGCTGCAACAACGCTGCACCACTTGGACAATAAAACCTTTTGCAGTGGGAATTGCACGCAGCTATGCATACGCTGGTTTTTATAGGTCAGAAAATTAATTTGCTGAGCTTAAATAAAGTTTTACTAAAGATTCTGTGCAACGTTTAATCAATAACGCCCCTGGTCTGGTGCTCAGGTCACTTTATGTTTATGTTTATTTATTTAGCAGACGCTTTTATCCAAAGCGACTTACAATTTATAACCTATAGGGCGTGTTGTGATCTGTGGGGGAAACCAGAGTACCCGGAGGAAACCCACGCATGCATGGGGAGAACACGCAAATCCACGCAGAAAGGCCGCAGCCGAGCCAAGTTTCGAACCTGCAACCTTCCTGCTGCGAGGCAACAGTGCTAACCACTGCACCACCATATGTTAAGACTGCATATAATTAATCTCACATTCCTGAAACCAGGGATGTCCCATACCGACACCAGCATCAGTTATCGGTCAGATATGGTCGCATACTCATACTTGTAAAAGTACTATGGCAGAACTTTAGACGTGAGCAGCTGCTTCACGTAGAGAAGTTGGTTCTGATCAAGAATGGTTTGGTCTGGAGAAAATGATGGAAAGTTGTTATGTCATATAATCAAATACATTTTGAATTATTCTACATCATCAGTGTATTTATTAGCTCACACTCTGACACCCAGCTAAGTGTTTCACATGTTATTGATGTAGTTTAGCTAAATGATTATCTAATGATATTGTAGCGTACCAAATGGCCATGTATTTCATCAATATGATCAAAACTGAACTTCTTCGTACAGGTCAGTCTGACACCGTGGTGCCGATATGAAGACTATGAACTGGACCCAATATTCTTCACTTATCCTGCGGTAAGTCAGAACATCATCAAGGCTGCAAAAGATGCAGGACGTCTTATCTATCCTCTTTGAATAAAATTGATCTTTCTTGGCTCATAAAATGACTTTATAACCTTATAACTCCGCTCGTCGTGTGCTGAGGTGTTTTACCACACTGACGCAGCATCGAAACGCGCACTACGCTTTGCGTTCAGGAGATCCCTTTGATCTGCTCAAAAGTAACTCATAAGGTAAAAAGTAAGAATCCAGCCAGCAGTTTTTTCTGGAGAGTTTAGAGGAGATGCAGGAAGATGAGAGACAGACAGGACAGGAAAATAGTTAAATAAAAACAAGAAAAAAAAAAAGAAAAATGTTGAAAAGTAAAAGGTAGCTTTATCTCCACTATACATTTTTACCTGTATAAAACAATAAGCTATACATATGTAATATTTATACATTTGATACAATTCAGATCACCTTCAAAACTCAGTCACACACCCAGGGCCGTTTCGAGGCATTTTGGGGGCCAAGGCTACTGGGAACAACCTCCATCACTGGGTTCCCCAAAAGCCTTTATGTAATTCCTACCCTGTTCAGGAGTGTTAATTATACAGTGTTTATAAAAAGACCTCAGACATTACTGACATATTCTAATATTGTCCGATGAAAAGCAAAATTGGCGGACATGCCGTCTCATCTGCTTCTTTTATAAACTCACACAAATCTGTCAGTAACAAAACCATTTGAAAGCCTCTATTTTTGTATTCTCTGAAAGTTTCCATGGAGTCCATGGAAACTTTTTTTAGGATGGACCCTATCGTCTAATCTCACAGCTGAAACAAGCATCCTTAACAATCTGTGCACAGGATGCTTACCGATGCTGTAGTAAAACAAAAGGTATAATAATTTCTTATTAATAAACCATTGTTGCAGCACTAAAGTTGCAGAAAAATGAGATTTAGCAATAAATATGCTAAATATTTACATATAAATAGTTTTAGAGCCTTTTGTTGGCAGAATCTGATATTAATTTCAGCTCTCACCTGGAAAAAAATGGGTCCCAACGTGGTTTGTGTGGTTTTGCGTGTGACGTAAGAGTGGGCAATAAATCGAAAATGTATCGTTATCGAAATTTCTGACTCTTATCGAGATAAATTTTCCCATGTCAATAAATTTGACAATACAAAAATGAAAACATGCGTGTAGGTTGGCAACGTTTATGTCCCTTTAAGAAGCTGTACCACATTGAGTCATGTAAAAATGTGACTCAACATGATACACGTGACAGCCCCATCTAGTGGACAAATTTTGTTTCTGTGCATACCTGTAGTTATCGTCCATTTATCGTTATCAAGGTTAAATCCTCAATATATTGTGATATTGATTTTAGGCCATATCGCCCAGCCCTGGTGTGATGTCATCGGTAGGCACAGATCTCCTGTCCTCTATTTTGGAAACGGAAATATGGTCACCCTAGTATACACGCAAGTAATTGTCAAAATTACAATAATACATTTAATGTTGACATGTAAAAATAAATCTGAATGAGCTCTCTGTTACATATGTTTTAACAAATTTAAGATCTCCTCGACCACTTTTGGCCGTGGACACCTTGTTGCCGTTGTGACAATGTTTGCTGGGGTGTCTCAGAAGCTCTGGCATGGGTTGTTCGATTAATCATTAAAATTCTAAATGACTGGCTTATAGTATCGCAATATATCTTATTGTCTCCCTATATGGTGAGGTAAATGTTATCGCCACATCCAGGCGCGCAGATAGGGTGGGGGACGGGGGGGATCTGTCCCCCCCAGATTCAGATCAACCCCGATTCGTCCCCCCCAACTAAGGCCAGAAAGAAAACAAAATCGGAGGTTAAGCGCTTGAAGCTCCTTTTTCCAATTACAATGAATGCAGCATGACGTAAACAAACACCGACTCCAGAGGCGTCAAAGTGGTTGCTGCTACGATGCAGGATGAAGAGAAAAAGGCAAACAGCGATTACTGCGTATTTAAAAAAGACCAACAGTGTAAGTAGGCGGGACCGATCTGTCTGTTTATGCGTGTTGGTTCTAGTTTCAGTACGTTGTTGTCAGTGTTGGGACTTACTCATTAAAAGCGCCAAAGCCTCATTGCTGACTTTAACAAGTCTCATCTACAAATATGATCCCTCATGAAGTTACTACTTTACATCAGAAGATAGTGGAGATGTGTAACCTTCAGGCTGAGCAAGGTTTGGGAGTTTTTAGAGTTTGAAAAACGCCTCCCGAGTCCCGCCGTGAGGCTCCCAGTCGGGGAAAGGAGGAGATGCGCGCAGCATGAAGAGCGCAAATATTAGATAAAACGTATAACTGCCGGCAGGTCTGGTCTTTGCTGACTGATCACTTTGTCTGGTAATGACTGACTGATTATGAAGCAGAATATTGACTCTGATGAAGAAATTCACTCATCCAGCCGGGAAGATTGGCGCTGCTGCAGCATCAGACAGCTGGTGCTGCACGAGAGGTGTGTGGAGTTTACAAGCTCCAAACGTTGGGTTTGATTTTGGTTTAACCTTCTCTGGGATGTGATGGATGTAGAAATGATGGTAAAACACCGCTAATGCGACAGACGTAGCGACAATGTAAAAAAAAAAGCCGTAAAAAGCGGCAGATGCCGATGCGTTAAATATGGAAGTCAAAGTGTGCCACGTAATCATAAAAAATGTAAAATATAACATTTAAAAAGAGATTTATATATTTATATGTAAATAAAAATTTTCCAAATATAATGAACATTAATAAATAATGTAAAAATACGAAGGAACATGTGTTGGTCAGGCTGAAAAGTTTGGGGACTACTGCTCTAAGTGATAAGTGAATATTGTTTCTTATTATATTTTATGTGCAGTTTTTTAGGGCTTTTATGTTTTCTGTAAAGATCGGTATGCTGAAAATCATTTAATGTTTTGCATAAAGCATGGGGTTTTGGTTAGTAATTGATTGGGAGAATAACGAATGACTGAATTAAATAGTGGGGCGCATCTCTCAGTGTGTCCCAGGGCAGCTGTGGCTACATCGTAGCTCATCACCATCAGTGTGTGAATGTGTGTGTGTGAATGGATGAATGATACACTGTAGTGTAAAGCTCTTTGGAGTCCTTACTCTGAGAGGTGCTATACAAGTGCGGATCATTTATCATTTATAGTGTTGATCAGGTAGAGCTTTGCTGCCAGCGTTCCACTGCATAATGGCTTCAAACACGTATAGAAAAGTTAGTTTTTACGTCAACCGTTGGAGGAAATTACACAAACTGACTGAGCTCTAGTTAAGACACTTGCAATAGTCTGTGTGTGTGCGTGCGTGTGTGTGTATAGGTGTGTGTGTGTGTGTGTGTGTGTGTGTGTGTGTGTGTGTGTGTGTGTGTATTTGGGGGAGAGTACATTGGAACTTTGTCCCCCCCAGTTTGAAAATCCTATCTGCGCCCCTGGCCAGATCTAAACTTGTTCTCAAAGCTTCTTCAGGCTTTTCAGTCAAATCAATAGAGGACATAAACCTGTCACAAACCACCCAGACACGCACACACGCACACGCACACACACACACACACACACACACACACGCACACACACACACACACACACACACACACACACACACACACACACACACACACACACACACACACACACACACACTCACTCACTCGTTCTCCAGCAGGGTCATGCAGACCACCTCGCGGACTCCCGGGTTGTTGGCCTTCTCGCAGGAGCAGTCTTGGAGGCTCCACGTTCCCAGACGCACCACAGGCTTCCCGTCCCTCAGACCGAACGCTGGCTCCACGTTCGGCCGTACAGATACGATCTGTGTGGGGCCTCCCGGCGGGAGGTCCAGGTCTTCACTTCTGAGGCTGAAAGAGGTCGGGCTCGGGTGGGACTTGGAGGTGGTCAGCCCTCCGTTAGTGTTGGTGGACGGCGCCCTGGAGCGCTCCACGAACACCTGGAAGCGGATTTTGCCCAGCAGGGAGCTGTTGATGTGGGGGACCCTCACCAGGTCCTCGATGCTCCTGAACGGTCCATGCTCCACCCGGTAGGACATGATGTTTTGGACTATCTTCTCCGTCAGGCCCCGGATGCTCATGAGCTGCGCCGGGGTGGCGGTGTTGATGTTGATCCCGGTGCTGGGCTGGTGCTCAGGGTCTTTGCGCAGGGAGGACGGGGAGTGTTGGGACGAGCTGGTCCTGCTGGAGACGCAGATCTCCAGCTTGATCGCCTCCAGTTTGGTGGCTCCGATCCCGCTGACCAGAGCCAGGTCCTCCACCTTCTTGAAGCCACCGATGCAGTCCCGGTACTCCACGATGTTCTGCGCCACAGCCCGGTTGACTCCCGGCAGGGTCATCAGTTCCTCCTCAGTGGCCGTGTTGATGTTCAGCCGCTCCTGATTCACCAGGATCGGACCGAAGTTACAGGCGGTGCTGAACTTCCGTTTACCACCGCTCAGGTCGGTGGGGTCTCTGGGGATGGAGCGGTGGCAGCCCAGGTTCCCCCCCATGGCTCCGGTGGGTCTCCAGTACCGGTGTCAAGATAGAAGAGAGGCGAGGGCCGAGAAACAGGAGACCCTCCGGTTACATGCTGCACAGAGACCGGATAAGAACCGGACCTTTGCCCCGTGACGGCGCGTCTGTCCTTCTGCCAGTGTGGCCCTTCAAAATAAAAGCCGCAGCCCTGCAAAGTATAAAGCAGCAACAGGACTCAAACCTGGGTCTTTATTAACCCTTTACTGAAGGTATCGCCCTTTTAATCTGTGCGTCTACAGATTAAATCTACGTCACGTTAAAAAGATTAGATCTTGTGTTTGGAAAGGTATAACCCTCGTTTGGTTTCTTCCACCAAAGGGGGCGTGGTTTAAATAGATTACCTGTAAAATGATCTGATAACGCGGACAATATTAGTAATGTATTAAAGGCTAATTTACATAAACACATTATTTCTGTTTATAGATTATACAAGAGCAGCTGAATCAGTGTTTACTCCACAGGATCTTAACATAACCATCTTTTATCACGTCCGGTTTGCAGGAGACAAATAACAGTTTTCTGTGTAACACCAGTGCCATGACCAAACCCTAAACTGGTGGGTCTGTTTTCAGTGAAAGGATTCCCGCTCTAGTCACAGATCACCCCCGATCCTGTGTGACTGGATCATCACAAGATTATAAATTCAGATTGTGTTTTGGTGATCACTCAGTCTTCGGTTTTCTGTCATGTGATGGTGAGATGGGATTTATTCTCTCCAAACAAAAACAACAATGATGTAATTATTCATTCATTCACCCACCATGGTTCTGACAGCGGTGCAGATTTCTGTGATGAAACTGGGTTTCATGTTCTGGTGAAATGTGACGTCCATAAAACCCTTATACATGGCTGGATTTTATATTTAATGGTTTATCTTGATGTGGCAGTGTGAGCGTCCTGTCAGTGTCCCGATTGATCATGCGCCCTGGCCACTTGGCCAAGGGGGTGTCCCTTTGGCTGACTGGTAAGCGCGCGTGGCTCTCACCCGGGAGTCTAGTCCGAATCCCGCCCGGGCCCTCGTTGTCCTCCCCGGAAGGATTGATGCCACAGTTTAAACCAGGTGTGGGGAACCCTCGAGTGCCGGTATCCTGCATGTCTTTGCTCCAACACTTCTGATTGAATGGTTGAATCACCTGCTCATCAGGCTCTGCAGAAGCCTGTTAATCACCTGTTGATTGTAATCAGGTGTGTTGAAATTCAAACACACATGCACTCATACACATAATACAGTACACACAAACGCATTGACACACATATGCATGCACTCTATCACACACACACACACACACACGCACGCACGCGCACGCACACACACACACACACACACACTCAGACACACAGCTGATTTTATGAAGTTTAACTTAATTATTTTATCTAAAAGCTGCAGGAACATGTCAGATTAGACCAATCAGTTTTAACCAATTAACAGAGAATAAACAATAATTAATGATTAAAGGGGACCAAATCTCCCTTGCTTTGATTCCAAAAGGAAAATGATGCCAGCTTCTGACAGATACAAAGTTCTACCAGCTCTTAAAACCATCTCCTGAACAGTCAGGTTTCAGAATGAAGCTCTGTGATTGGCTTAGAGTGCTTCCTCTGGCTGACCTGAAGGGAAGATGGGCCAATGAGCAGCAGCAGAACCAGACTGGCCCGTGGCATGACACAGGGTGTCCTGCAAACAGCAAGTTTGGGTTCAAAGGGCTTGGTTCTGTTCAAACAGCATGAGATGAGGACGAGCTTTAATAATACCCCCCCCCCCCTCCAACACACACACACACACACACACACACACACACACACACACGTTCTGCAGGTCTCCAGAATTCACAACGATCAGTTATTGATGTGAAGTAGCAGTACTGGAAGTACATGCAGAATCCAGCTGTTCCCTAAAGACACTTCCTCTCCCATGACTTTTAGTTTGTGTCTCAGAAGACTTTAATTCCAGCCCACAAGTTCTGGTTCTGACAGGAGTCACTTCTCCACCGTCTTATGATGAAAAAAGAATAATCATGTGCTGTTTTCAACTTGTCCACGGAGGAGATGTGGAGGTACCAGGTCCTAGAAGCCCAATCCCTCCTTCTCTCTAGGCATTCTCCAGCTCCTACCAGTGGATCCTGAAGCGTTCCCAGACCAGACCGGTTATATAACCCCTCTGGAAAGTTCTCAGTTTGTTCCAGGGCCTTGTCCCTGTGCCCAGAAAACCTCCAGAAGGCCGAAATTAGAGGAAATCCTGATTAGCCGACTCTTTTTGAAGAGGTGGAGCAGCAGCTTCCCTCATCGTGAGGCCAGGTTCCAGGAGCATGTTCTTGTGGTCCTGGTCCAGATCGCATGATGTCTGGAGAACTAACCGGTGTACCGACTTCAGTTCATTGGTTAAAAGTTTTCCATCTAAGGAAACTAACTTGCAGCATTACAGCAGTCCCTCAGCCTGAGCAAGCATGTAGAGACAGACAAGAGGAAAACTCCCCTTTAAAGGTGTGGTTGACTGACAAAACATTTTTTTATTTCTGATTATAATCGATCAAGTGGCTTTCAGCCACTTTGCAACGTGACTGAACGCATTCTCTTAGCCAATCAGAAGCGAAGTGTGCGCATATCATTAATAATGACTAATCCTGCTGTTTTCAGCCCACAGAACAGGAACATCTTAGCTTTTTAATTTTTTTAAATGACTCATAAGGCATATTTTTTCCGGAACCGTGCTGCTCTGGGTGGCTGCATGTTGGAGTAGCTCTGTTGACGATATGTAAGTTTTGCCTTTTCTTGGACGTATTTTCTTCTAGTTTCTCAAGAAAAACGGTATTTTTTTGGACACTTTGCTTTTCTGTTTCTGGTGCTGTGAAGCTTGGAGGATTTCTACTGCTATTTTTTAGCTTTTTTTTACTTTTTGAGCATTTGTTATGATGCATAACCCTGGCAACAAGCTGGTTTACAATTGGGAGCAGCTGATTAACATTGGAAAGGCTGAAATAATACCTCAACTGAAGCCACAAATCCCACATGAGCTAAAACGCAAGAAGCGTGGGTGCAGAGCGGGAGCAAATGGAGACAGAGAGAGAGGAAATTCAAACCATCTCCTCCATCGATCATAATGGGCAATGTGAGATCACTGGCCAACAAGATGGAGGAACTCCAAGCCCTTTCAAGGACTCAGCCAGAGTATCGGCAGTTTCGGAACCGCTGGAGGAGATCATGCAAAGAAGGATTCTCCAGAGAATCAAGAAAATGATGAACAACCCTGAGCATTCTCTTCACAAGACTGTCCGACAACGGAAGAGTGTCTTCAGTCAGAGGCTTCTTCAGTTTGGCTGCAACACTGACCGCTACTGGAGATCCTTCCTGCCAACAGCCATTGTAATATACAACAACTCTTTGATGCAAGGGCGTAGGAACGGGGGGGACGTGTCCCCTCCAATATTGGACAAATGCGCATTTGTGTCCCCCCCCCAATAACATGGAGGAGAAAAGAATTGATTTTGAAATATTAGACTCACGAGCTTTTATTTTTAAAGACACCGCAGACTTCTCACCGACACAGCCCCTTAGGCAGGCTGGCTGAGTGAAGCGGGAGTCAGAGCCGGCGAGTTCTTCTCATGGGCAAATAAAGAAAGAAAGGAAATGTGAGTTGGTAATAATTTAGTCCAAGAGGATAATTGTATTTCTGGTCAAACGTTAGACTGGCTGACTAACGTAAACATCTTGCTAGTTAGCATTAAACATTAAACAACACTACTAGTCAACAGAAAATGGCGAATCTGACACAATTTTACAGTAACAGACAAAAACCATTTGACACGAAATAAATAAAAAAGTTGAATCTCCGCATAAAAATGGAGTTTGTAAGTGTGACTGTTGCTTGTTTGTGACATTCTCATCACATTTCATTTTTAAACCTTATTCTCATGTCAATTTTTTCATATAAGAGACCAGAGGAAGTTCAGCAGGAAAATGATGAAGAAGGTGAGACAGGGAGCGCCAGACCTGCTGAGGGTGAGACAGGGAGCACCAGACCTGCTGAGGGTGAGACAGGGAGCACCAGACCTGCTGAGGGTGAGACAGGGAGCACCAGACCTGCTGAGGGTGAGACCGGGAGCACCAGACCTGCTGAGGGTGAGACAGGGAGCACCAGACCTGCTGAGGGGGAGACAGGGAGCACCAGACCTGCTGAGGGTGAGACCGGGAGCACCAGACCTGCTGAGGGTGAGACAGGGAGCACCAGACCTGCTGAGGGGGAGACAGGGAGCACCAGACCTGCTGAGGGTGAGACCGGGAGCACCAGACCTGCTGAGGTGCAGGTAGGTGCTACAGTGGAGTGAGATTTTAGATGGTTGATGATGAGAGGAAGATTAGAGCATGATAACAAGTGAACACGACTAAATAATACTATAACAACCATGATTTTAATATTGCACTAGTCCTCCAACAGTACTTTTACTCCTTATTCATGTCCACTGTTTTTATATTGGAGATCAGATGAAGTTCAGCAGGAACCAGTTGAGGGTGAGACAGGGAGAGCCAGACCTGCTGAGGTGCTACAGTGAAGAATGAGATGATTTGAGGTTGCTGATGAGAGGAAGATTTGAATGTAATAATAAGTGAAAACAGTTAAATATATGTAATCCCATAACTAATAGGGCTGGGCAGTACGGTTTAAGAATACAATAAATGCTTCCTTAGAAATATTAGAAAAATAAGTGTTAAACTCTGCTTTCTGGTGCATTTAGACTGCAATTTTGGCCACTGTTTTTTCTTTTGTCCATCTGAAAATTAATGTAGTTCCAGCTGTTGTTGTGAGTGAATCATTTCTTTTTCCATTATGTCAGAAGCAAACAGATTTTTGTGATTAGTGGTCAGCCTTGTTGGCTGATGTAGTTTAAAATATTCTGATCAGAGTCAGATCGATTCAGACTGAATATTCCCAGCTTTAGTCTTGTATTAAATCTGTTTACACATCTCTCCCCATATGAATAAGATAATATATCCTACATTCATATTATTAAATAAAAATAAAACAGTACTGACACATAAACAGCTTTTTTATAATTAAAGCGTCCACGTTGGCTGGTAATCACCTGGATCTGGCTAATGGGGAGCCTAAGTCTCCTCCCCTTCTGGCTGGCTCATGGGTCTCTGATAAAAAAAAAACCCCAGAATGTTAGTGAACTGGGCTATAAAAGTTATTTTCTTGTCTTTCTGGGCTTTGCCTTACGCCCAGAGTCACATCTGTCAGACTTTTCTAATCCTAGAGTTTCACCGTCTATCAGATTTTCTATCAGAAGCTAATGCAGGAGCTAGCGGTAGGAGACTATGTTCATGTTCAGCCTGCATGAAACACTCAGTGACACGTTAGAATCAGAAATAATCATTAAATGTATTTTTTTCAGTGAAGTTGGCCTAAATATTGACCTACAACAGATTTGTTAGATTTCCAAAATGTGTCTCTCCCCCCCCCCCCCCCCCCCAATATTAAACTCGTTCCTACGTCCTTGTTTTGATGACTTGATTATTATTATTATTCTGAGCTACTGCAGCAATCAATTTCCCTCTGGGCTTAATAAAGTATTTTTGAATTGAACTGAATTGATTTACACTAAAGAAAAGTGCAAATGTATTGAATAAACGAGTAAACCACACCTTTAACAGGAAGAAACCTCCAGCAGGACCTGGCTGAGTATGATCGGCTGCCACAACCTACTGGAGTTTAAGAAGAAAGAGCAGAAAGAAAAAAATAAACATTATACTAATGTTTCTGTTTATTGCAGCTATGGTAATAAAACATTTATAAACTCTTCAGATAAGAAATGCCAGCCTTGTGTGATGATTCATGTTTTTGTTTTTGTTGTTTGCTGGCTAGCTATGAGGACAGTTTTTTTATGTAGACATTGGTTGAATTATATGTGTGTGTGTGTGTGTGTGTGTGTGTGTAAGTCATAATCTGAAGGCTCCAGAAGATTTTATGGCTCTAATTAAATGTTTTATTGTTAGTTATTCAGCTGTAAATGTTGTGGACGGCTGCATCCAAGTCCTGAGACCAAAAATTATCTGTAATCTGGTTTAGGGACAGCGTGGAAGTTAGAAAACCGCTGAGCTCATCACAATCAGGCCTTCAACTTCATTAAGTCAGACACAGATGAGGGTCAAAGGTCAGAGAGAGCGTGATTAGGCTGATCTAAAGGAGAGTTTGAAGGTGATGCAGCATTGTGGTGCCACCTGCTGGCCAATGGCCAAACTACATTTAGAAACTCACATTTAGGCCTCAAATATCGTTTCATAAACAGAGATTTGCCTTTAGTCTCCTTTTTATCACCAACCCATTTCAGACCAGGGTCATCCGAAGGCTTCCTTTGAACAAGTGGTCACCAGAACCCCCTCCTAAATCCTGGTGCTCTAAAGCCTTCTGGTAATGGAGGCAGAAACTGATTATTGTCTTTTTTATGGTAAATAATCAATTCTGATCCTCTTCAGGGAATTTTGGAGTTCATCCCCTCTCAGTTACATCTGACCAGGTGAGGAGAGAACTGAGGCGTCTCAGGAGCAGGAAAGCTGCAGGTCCTGACGGAATCAGCCCCATACTGCATGTGCTGACCAGCTTTGTGAAATGGTCACACACACCTTCAACATGAGCCTGTTGGAGCAGGTCTCTATCCTGCGGAAGAGGTCCTGTGTGGCTCCAGTTCCCAAAACATCACAACCCCAAGAACTAGACCACAACAGATCAGTCGCCTTGACCTCCCATCTGATGAAGATGTGACAGGGTGAGCATCCTAGAACTGCATCCTGATTGATCATGTGCCCTTGGCTGACTGGTTAGCGTGCGTGACTCTCGCCCGGGAGTCTTCAACTTCTCGAGTGCCTGCTAAAGTCCTTTCTCTCTATTGTTGGATCTGTTATCCATTCTGCTGTGGCCTGTTGGGGTGCAGGCAGCTCTGACCGAAACAGGAAGAGACACTAAAAACACTCGCTCAGCTCTGGGCTCCAACTAGATTCAGTTTAGGAGATGTGTGATAGGTGGTGAAGATGACCTAGAAAACCCCCCCCACTCACTGTGGAGACCATGGGCAGCTTCTTCAGAGGCAGACGGAGACATCCCAGATGTAAAACAGAACGCTACCGTAGGTCTTTCATCCCCTCTGCAGGAAGAGTGTATAACCCCTCAGTTTAACTGGTACTGGCAGTATCCCGTTACTGAATCACATCAATGCAATACGCAGTATGCGTTCAATATTTGTACAATACCAAATGTTCTGTTCAGTATTTATTCATTTCAAGCAACATCATGTTTCCACCACAATACTCATAACTGGTCAACATCATCTTAATCGTCCTTCACATCAACAACAACACTATCATCATCATCTGACAGTGATTATAAACATGTGCATCAGTATGTCTGTCGCTTATGCTGCATAGTTCTGGAAACACCCGTTTTCTTTTATTCGTTGTTTTTAGTGGACGAAGGGAACAACAATAGCTGTAATCTTATTATTTTTCTGTGTGTTTGTGCTGCTGTAGCAAGTGAATTTCCCCACTGTGGGATCAATAGTCTACCTAAAACTTTGTGAGGATCGTTGTTTGAGCCTTTCTCTAAACGTTTGGTCCCAGCTGGGCATCAGAACCAGGTCTGATCGTACAAAAACACCATTCGGTTTTACCATCTCAGTTTTATTACAATAAAAACACGAAGTTACAAAATGCAGCTCAGCCTCTGACACATGGACGTCTGCAGGAAAACATTTTACCCCCAATTTGCAAAAGAAGCTCAAAGCAAAAGTCACACAAACACCTCAGGACGGGTTCTGACCCAAAACACTCAGCAGGACTCACTCAGGAACATGTCTGGTTTCCAGAAGCTGGACAAGAGAAACGATGCTTCGACACCGAGGCAGATAGAAAAAGGACAAACAGGAAGTAGGAGGGTGATATTAAACTGTTCTTCCTGGTTCCATTAGGAGCTGAGTGAACCGGCTCGAGCTCAGCCTCAGCTTTTTGTCCTGATGCTGAACAGGAAGTGAAGGGCTGACGTCTCGGTTCGTTTTTGGCATCAAACAAACTGAGATCAACACAGAATTTCCCCAAAATAAAAGAACAAAAGGGAAAAGAAGCAACAAAACCTGAGCTTGTATTCTGAAAGAGCCAGGAAGTAGCCTTGGTAAGCAGAGTCAAACACAGTGCCAGAACAGAAGACCAAACATCGTTTAGTCTAAACTCAAGGTGCTGCTGCTCCCAGGTCCTTCTCATCCCAGCTGGTGATCTGATTGGTTGGCACGGTCCTCAGCAGGATTAAAATATCTTCTTCTTGCCTTTGTTAGCTCTGGACAAACACGAGGAGAGACCTTCAGTCAGACAATCACCTGGATAACAGACCAGTGCTCCTAAACACTTCCTGTTTGACCCTAGTTCACACCGTGGGACTGTTTCTGTGTTACTGGGACTCTAGTGCTTAGTATTCAAGTCCCAGTAACACAAAGGCGAGTCAGAGTCAAGTCCCTAGGGGCTACAGGCCAAGTGCCAGTCCAGCATCCAACCGCTGCATTACGGTTCCTAATGCTATTAGCCAATGCTAATGTTAGCTTGTTATGTGTGGTTAGAGCCCTGCACTGAAGCCCTAGGCCCGCGGGTCGGCCCGGCCCGACGGCCGGGCTTCGGGCCAACGACTGTGTAATTACCTCGGACACGGGCCGGGCGCCTTTATTTTTTAATCAAATTCATAAAAAAAAACTGAAACACTTGAACGCAGCAGCACCTGCCTGCTTCTCACGCACCGTTAGCTCAGTTAAGGTCTGTGTGGTTTACAAATGCGCCTATAAACAAATTCTCAAACTGCTGATTGAAACATGTGCCCCTGTTCTAATATGCCATTTTATGTCCACTTTGATGTCAGAAACCATTCGTTTATTCTCATGAAAACGGCAGCATTCCATTTTTCTGTGAATAAATTCGCTCTGCAGTTAAAAAAAAATACAGCATCCATTGCTGTTTTTTTTCTAACCGGAGAGCGCATTTTCAGAGCGGCAGATTAAATGTACAAACGCGATATTCATTGGGGGCGTTTATTTAATCTGCCGCTCTGAAAATGCGCTCTCCGGTTAGAAAATTAGAATGCTGCTTTTTTTTCTAATTGCACAAGAGCGCATTTTCAGAGCAGATTACATTTACAAACACATTCAAATAATATAGAGTTCGTAAATTTCATCTGCCGCTCGAAAAATACGCTCTGTTAGAAAAAAAGCTGCATTGATGCTGTTTTTCTTTCTTTTCTTTTCTTTTTTTTTTAACTGCAGAACGCTTCTCACAGATAATTAGAACGCTGAGCATTCTATCACGCTAAAACATTATGAAAGGTTAAAAAAAAAAGTCGGGCTGGGGCTCCACCCCCTCGGGCCGGGCCGGACACGGGCTCAGATTTTAGGCCCGTGCAGGGCTCTATGTGTGGTCATACTACTGGGAAAATTAAATAACCACAAGATCCCAAAGCCTCTGTAATGGTGACATGCTGATTATTTGTTATAAACTTTATTTTAAGCATGTTTATTATTTTGCAACAGTGTCTCCCATTGTTCTCCTGCACGCTTCACATCTGGAATCCTCAAATCATTAGTTTAATTTTCGACTGAAAACCAAAAGTATAAAATACAAATTTTGTTTTATTTTCCATACTTTCTATTTTTCTATTGGACGAAAAACATGAAAAGGAAAAAATAGCTGTTTATTATTTCCTGGGTTTACGTGGACCGGTGTTGTGCGTTGGGCAGGAAGCACGGATCCCGTCGCCTCTGCCTCGCCTGACTGGATGTTAATAGTGTTCTGACTCTACAGAGAAAGTGATGATGCATTTATTGTTCTAGCGGGGTTTTACACGTTAGTATTTGTAAACAGTTTCAGAACCAGGTGGATTATCTGATGCTGTTTTTTCCCTGAAAAATCTGTAAAAGCCAACTGCAGACTTCCTGGTGCGTTTGGATTAGGGATGTCCCGATCAGGTTTTTTTGCCCTCAAGTCCGAGTCATTTGATTTAGAGAATCTGCCGATACCGAGACCCGATCCGATACTTTTGATACATAAAAAAAAGAAGAAAAAGAAAATTGCTACTTATTTTTTATTTAATTACCTTTTTATTTTAATTTTTAACAACAGATCACTTCTGTGAGGTAGCTTGAACAATCGAGTAACAAATAACATAAATTCTTCACTTTTGGACTTTATTGCAAATATAAAAAGTCTAAAATAAAAACAGACAGCACTTCAACTTAAAATACTCGGCAGGGGTCCATTTTACCTCGGCAACCCCAAAATGCTTAGAATCTACCTACATTTTATTTTTTTAAGAACTTTGTTTTGTTTTCTTGGTTTTTATTTTCCTGTCTTCCTGTCCTGTCTGTCTGTCTCTGATCTTCCTGTCTGTCTGTCTCTGATCTTCCTGTCCTGTCTGTCTCTGATCTTCCTGTCCTGTCTGTCTCTGATCTTCCTGTCTGTCTGTCTCTGATCTTCCTGTCCTGTCTGTCTCTGATCTTCCTGTCCTGTCTGTCTCTGATCTTCCTGTCTGTCTGTCTCTGATCTTCCTGTCCTGTTTGTCTCTGATCTTCCTGTCCTGTTTGTCTCTGATCTTCCTGTCCTGTCTGTCTCTGATCTTCCTGTCTGTCTCTGATCTTCCTGTCCTGTCTGTCTCTGATCTTCCTGTCTGTCTGTCTCTGATCTTCCTGTCCTGTTTGTCTCTGATCTTCCTGTCCTGTCTGTCTCTGATCTTCCTGTCCTGTCTGTCTCTGATCTTCCTGTCCTGTCTGTCTCTGATCTTCCTGTCCTGTCTGTCTCTGATCTTCCTGTCCTGTCTGTCTCTGATCTTCCTGTCCTGTCTGTCTCTGATCTTCCTGTCCTGTCTGTCTCTGATCTTCCTGTCCTGTCGGTCTCTGATCTTCCTGTCCTGTCTGTCTCTGATCTTCCTGTCTGTCTGTCTCTGATCTTCCTGTCCTGTCTGTCTCTGATCTTCCTGTCCTGTCTGTCTCTGATCTTCCTGTCCTGTCTGTCTCTGATCTTCCTGTCTGTCTGTCTCTGATCTTCCTGTCTGTCTGTCTCTGATCTTCCTGTCTGTCTGTCTCTGATCTTCCTGTCCTGTCTGTCTCTGATCTTCCTGTCCTGTCTGTCTCTGATCTTCCTGTCCTGTCTGTCTCTGATCTTCCTGTCTGTCTGTCTCTGATCTTCCTGTCTGTCTGTCTCTGATCTTCCTGTCTGTCTGTCTCTGATCTTCCTGTCTGTCTGTCTCTGATCTTCCTGTCTGTCTGTCTCTGATCTTCCTGTCTGTCTGTCTCTGATCTTCCTGTCTGTCTGTCTCTGATCTTCCTGTCTGTCTGTCTCTGATCTTCCTGTCCTGTCTGTCTCTGATCTTCCTGTCCTGTCTGTCTCTGATCTTCCTGTCCTGTCTGTCTCTGATCTTCCTGTCTGTCTGTCTCTGATCGTCCTGTCCTGTCTGTCTCTGATCTTCCTGTCTGTCTGTCTCTGATCTTCCTGTCCTGTCTGTCTCTGATCTTCCTGTCCTGTCTGTCTCTGATCTTCCTGTCCTGTCTGTCTCTGATCTTCCTGTCTGTCTGTCTCTGATCTTCCTGTCTGTCTGTCTCTGATCTTCCTGCCTGTCTGTCTCTGATCTTCCTGTCTGTCTGTCTCTGATCTTCCTGTCCTGTCTGTCTCTGATCTTCCTGTCCTGTCTGTCTCTGATCTTCCTGTCTGTCTGTCTCTGATCTTCCTGTCTGTCTGTCTCTGATCTTCCTGTCTGTCTGTCTCTGATCTTCCTGTCTGTCTGTCTCTGATCTTCCTGCCTGTCTGTCTCTGATCTTCCTGTCTGTCTGTCTCTGATCTTCCTGTCCTGTCTGTCTCTGATCTTCCTGTCCTGTCTGTCTCTGATCTTCCTGTCCTGTCTGTCTCTGATCTTCCTGTCTGTCTGTCTCTGATCTTCCTGTCCTGTCTGTCTCTGATCTTCCTGTCTGTCTGTCTCTGATCTTCCTGTCTGTCTGTCTCTGGTCTTCCTGCATCTCCCAGTCCTCCAGAAAAACTCCCGCCTGCTTCCTTCTTTTTCACCTCCCAAGTAACTTTTTAACCAGCAGATCAAATTGATCTATTGACTGCAAAAAAAGCGGAGTGTGCGCCGCGCTGCCCGTCTGCACCAGTGACGAGCGCTGCAGCGCGAGCGCGTCCACACGTCATGCTCAAATACAGACAGAACTTACCAGAGAGAAAATGAACGGACACGAACGACTGTGTGTTAATTATATATTTTTGGTGACGCCACTTAGAAAAAATTAGAACATGTTACTGTGGCCGTGTGCAGAACGCAGCTGGAGTTCACGAATAATCAGCGGTCTGCCTGCTGCTCTGCTCAAAAGGATCCCCGCTACACTGAGTCCATATAAATAATGTAATATAGGAAGAAACTGGATCTTTTTTGTGCTCCTTCTGGGTGTGTAAGCTAAGGGCATCAGGGGAGCCTGACAACCTTTAAGGGGAACCAAGTTGCTCTCCTGTAATTTGAACCCAGTATCCGAGTCCGGATCGGGAAGTAAAGCCCGAGTCCCGATCAGTCTGAACCCACGTGATTGGGGCTGATTTCCGATCATGTGATCGGATCGGGACATCCCTAGTTTGGATCCTAATGTTGATGACGTCAAACGGTGGTGCTACACCTTCGCACATGTAGGAGTTTGAGTCAAGTTTACGTCCTAACTTTGTAAGTCCAAGTCATCGGCGTGCTCCACAAGTTAAGTCACACGTCCCTTTATTGTGACTTGAGAAACTCCGTCCCTGGATCCAGCAGAAGTTTAAGTTTTACTTAAAGACGAACTTGTTAAGATGCACGACTTTGGTTTTCAGGGCCGATAACGGGAGCTCTGACCTGCTGATGCTAAGGATTTACTTTGAGAGTAAGAACAGCCATGGAGGACCTGTTATTGTTAGCATGAGCTAGCGCTTGGTGATACGTAGTTCATGGAATGGGAAGTTTCAGATTTTCTGTTAATTCAGCCTGAATGTGGACCGAAGAGCTTTTTCACCGAGGTCTTATTTGATAGAAAACAGCCATTGCTGCTCAGCCTGAATGTGGACGGTAAACTGTTACCTGTTTATGGTCTCTAACTTCTGCTCCAGAATCTTCTGCTGGGCCTCCCAGGTGACCTTCTCCTCCTCAAACTGACGCCGTTTCTCTTCCAGTTCCTTGTGCTGATTCTCCAGGTTGGTTTTCATCTGTTCATTGCGCCTCTGGAGCTGGAAGGACACAGAGAACCAACCCAGAGTAAGCTAGAGTGAACTTTGAACGCATCACAGGAACCCCGGCTGGCTCAGGTACCTCGGCCTCAGAGTCTCTGAGCTTCTGGAGTTTCTCTTTGACCTTCATTTCAAAGACTTGCTCCATTTCTTGCTCCATCTTCTTCATTTTAGCCATGTGATCCCGACGCTCCTCCTCCATCTGAGCCAGAGGACTCCTAGAGACACGTGACGGGGTTATACCTGCAGTAGAGTGTCTATGTGGACTAAACCAATCATTATTCAACAGTAATCTACTGAAACAGCCAGAGTGAAAAGGACAATAAAACATCTGGTTCTCATCAACAAGGTAAACAACTATCAGTAACGTGTTATTTATCAAAACCAGGAATGGTGAGGAGGAAACGGAGCCTGACTGCTGGTCCAACAGAACATCTCAGAGGACCTGACGAGTGAGTCACATGGTTCTAGAAGAGTTCTGGTCCACTCCAAGTTCTGTTGTTGCTTCAGAGGTCTGGAGACATTCAGCTCTACAGTGTTCGGGTCAGGTTCTGGTCTACACTTACCTGGACTGGACCACTGCAGCACCTTGGTTCTGTTTCATGACCAGGTCCGGTCCAAGATGTGATGTCTGACTCTGAAGGACTTTGGGATTCATAGGGGCTCCTAGTGGAAACACAGTCAGAACCAGCCTGAAACATCAGCCTTCCACCACGTGCCAACTGCTGGGATCAGCTGTTTTCTGCTATAGTGCATTATGGGTAAACATCTCCACTTTGGTCTCGTTGTTCCAGAATTCCTGCGGTTGGATCCGAGTAAACTCCAGCCTGAGCTCAGCTGCCAGGGATGGGGACTCCTGCTCCTGGAGGTCCACTATTCAGCATATTTGAGGTGTTTCTCTCCTCCATCACACCTGGTTTTGATCAGCAGGTGATGAACAGGCTCCTACAAACCCACATACACTTCTGAAAAGGTGATTCAACCATCTCCACTGTAGAGGAAGGGCATTTCCAATTGTCCTGAAATGACCTTTGACATTTAACCTGCTACCTAAGGGGACAGCCTTTCAGTGTTCATTGAGATCTCTTTGATTCATGTTGTTGGGACTCTCGTCTCTCGCTGTTCTCCATCAGTTTGGATTTCCTACAACTTCATGTCATCTTCTGATGGCTTTTCCTGCGTCCCACCTTCTCATTTACGTCAGCTGTTAGCGACGTTTGTTTGCAGACGGGTCCGTTCACAAACCCACGACTGTGACTGTCTAGTCTGTTCCCTTCATACACCAACGGATCGTGTCGACTGTCCCCAGCTAGTGCACACGTTGTCCAACTGTGTTCACTCCCGAGAAGACTGGCGGCCTCCAGAAATGTTCTTCTATGGTAAATGATCACGTTCGCACATGATCCTTGACCGTTTCCAGATTGATGGGCTAGCTCTGTAAAGTCAGTGCTTCCTGTGTGAACACGCGCGTGTATGCTCCGGAACAGTCAGCAGACCTTATGAAGGAGCTGATGAGGATGATCTAGTGTTGGATCAGTTCCTTGTTGCTACTGAACCTCTAGCATGAGAGGGTCTACTTCTCACTACTGCAGCTTTAAACAAAGAACGACATTTCATCTGTTTATCAGGTTCTTTCTGACTGTTTTTATGACCTGATGAGAACCAGATGATCTGTGAAACCTAACAGGAACTGCTGAGTCAGAAACCAAAAGGAGATGGAATGAGGCAACACTTACATGTCGTCAGCAGGCTCGGGTCTAAATACAAACAAACAAACAAACAAACAACCATTTAGCATGCTGACACAAACCATGCGGTGTTAGCTGTGATTAGGAGTCAGATGGTTACACCTGGCTCTCACAGGTGGGTGGAGGGGTGTTAGTGCTGGATAAGGTCTACATCTAGACCACTTCAGTGGCAGCGTGAGTTTTAGTCTGGGTCAGAGACACAAGGACATGAAACTCACTTGGTCAGCTGGACCTTGGTCTTGGTGTTGTCCACACCGTTGTAGGTGACAGCAGCCAGCTTCCTGCTGCGGTAGTTTTCATAATGAACGTTGTTCGTTACGTCTCTCAGGTCCTGCATGTGGGTCCTAAAAACACGAGCGGTACGTGAGCTTTGATGTCCTCACCGAGGCTAAAGGAGATTGCTGTTTTAGTTTATTTTGTATTTTGATGGTGTGTCCATGGACAATATAACATTATTTTTTGTGTTATTATGTTGTTTATTAGACTGTATGTATGTTGTTTGAGTGTTTCTTTGGAATCTGTTTTATCCGGTGTGGGTTGGTGGTGAGGGGGGTCCTGGTTTATTGGTCTGTTTAAATGTTTTGTTAAACAGTGTTTAAAAATAATCAAGACCTCGTTTACACAACGGTTCCTTTAGGAACATTACTGTAGAACAGTGGTTCCTAATCTGGGGGTCCCGACCCCCACAAGGGGGCGCCAAAGCCTCTCAGAGGGTCGCCAGGACCTCTCCACTTTAAGGGGTTAAAACTTCATTTATTACTTGTTTATAGCCTACATTTTGCTCTGTTTTTTTTTCATGAGTGAAAAGTTTACTGATATTAAGACAGGAAATAATTAGTACAGAAAAAGTAACACACTTTTAAGAACATTTTGCTCAGCTCACTGTTTTATTTTCAAGTGTCAAAAGTTCATTAAAGATAGGACTGGTTGATTAATCACAGCCTTTACAGTAAATAATCTAGTATAAACAGTAATATACACATTTAAGTACATTTTGTTCAGTGCATTTTTTATGTGTCAAATATTTATTGAAAGGAATGATTGATTTATCAGTGTTTACAAGAAACCATGTGTTCAGAAAAGTAATACAAACTGTCAAGCACATTATGCTCTGTTTGGTTTTGTTAATGACTTTGTTCTGTACTGGAGCCTACTATTACTGTTATCTATTGAATCAAAGCATATTAAAATGTGCTTGAACAATTTTATCATTTCTTAATAATGTTTGTACTGGAAGAGAGAATGGGAGGGAGTCGTCAAAGAATTTACTCGTAAAAAACGGGGTCCCTTGGGAAAAAGGTTGGGAACCACTGCTGTAGAACAACGTGTTTCAAAGATGAGCCTCTCACGTGTAAAGGACCGGTTGTTTTTAGTTAGTTTACATGTCAGAGATGCTGCTGGTGGTCCGAGTCAGCAAATAAACCTACACCAGGTCAGTCCCAGCCTAATGTGGGTCCTACTCACCTGATTAACATGTTCCGCAGAATTGTGAAGTCACAGTGTTCTCCATTTTCCACTGTTGGAGGAAAACAGAAACCATCACTTCTCAGAACAGATGTAGGAGGCTGCAGTACCTCCAGAAGCCACCATGTGGCAGCCTAAGCTCCCCCACCCCACCCTGGCTCACCACAGTCCTCTGAGGTTGTTCTGTGGTTCAGAGACTCTCAGAGCTTCTCATGGATGACCCCTCCCTCCCTCCCTCTCGTATATATTTATGTTGACAAGCAGCCAGAGGAACATTTCTGGTATTTCCAAACGTGCTCCCAGAGGACGATCAACCCTTGTGGAAAACCAGTTCCATAGCACCCCGCCTACAAGTGTCCTCAGTTCTTTAGCAGCTGGATCAGTTCCCCTTAGGAGAACAACAGCTGGATCCATCCAGCTCATGGTTTTAATGTGACTGGATCTCACTTTTCTGTGACATCAGATAAACTCGTCTGGAGCTTCATCATTTATTTGGATGTTTTCTAATTATTAACCTTGTTACGATTACCTCTCTAGTCCTCCGAGTAGGCGACCAGTGAAAGGTGTAGGATGGTAAAACTGGTTGATTGTTGTTCTCTTACTTCTAAAGTTCTGAAACTTTAAGTTTCTCCACGTGTTAGCGCCACTCAGAAGAATAATTTATATCCTGACCAACTCCAGGGGTTTTCTTAAGTCATGGTTTAAAGGTGCAACGTGAAAGAATTCAGTGAAACAAGGTTTTACTGAAACAGATTTCATTGTCAGTTTTCCTCCTCTAAAAAACACAAAAGCTGGATGTAGTTAATGTTTTCACCCTGTGAGTTTATCGAATCCGCAGTGAGCTAACACAGCAGTGCCGGCATTTGCAATTCGACCCCAGCGGGTAAAAAGCTCCAGTTGTTTAAAGAACCAAAGCCAGCGAACATGAGCGACCCAGAAGTTATTTCTTGTACCCCTAAGAAGCCACAACATCTTTTTGTTTTACTCTCATTTCATATGAAGCAGGCTAGAGGCCAACTATGAGCAAACAAAGCTAACGGTGAATTAGAAACAACGAGGCAGCTCTAAAAAGATCAATACTCGTACCCTTTTTAATATCATCTATGCTAAACAGGAGGCTTCGACACCTGAAATGGTTATTTCCTTAGGTGCTGAAAAAGCATTCGATAGGGTGGAGTGGGGGTACCTTTTCGCGACTCTGAAGAGATTTGGCTTTGGTGAAAAATGTATTTCTTGGATTCGTCTCTCATATACCTCCCCATAGCAAGAGTACATACTAATGACTATTATTCAGACTACTTTACACTCGGTTAGGGTACCCGACAGGGTTGTCCAATATCACCTTTGTTGTTTGCCATCGCGATTGAACCACTGGCTATTGAATTAAGAACTTCTCCTCTCGTTAATGGGATAACCCGCTATGGGATCGAGCACAAGCTATCGTTGTATGCGGATGATTTAATGTTTTATATTTCTAATCCCAAAGTCTCTGTCCCTGCAGTTCTGAATATTCTGAGGAATTTCGGTCTTTTTTCGGGCTATAAATTAAACTTAGTGAAAAGTGAGTGTTTTCCTGTTAACACAGCTGCCTGTGTTTTTCCTCAGGCAGACCTTCCTTTCAAATTCAGTGTGAATGAGTTCAGATATCTTGGCATCACTGTGACACGCTCTATGACTAATCTTGCATCAGCTAATTTTACCCCTCTTATCTCCACTATTAACACAGATATCCAAAGATGGAAGAATCTGCCTCTTTCATTGTGTGGCAGAATTAATGCAGTTAAAATGAATATCCTACCCAAATTTTTGTTCCTGTTCCAATCAATTCCTATTTTTCTTCCAAGGTGGTTCTTGGACTCTCTAGACAAGATTATTAGCGCTTTTATTTGGGACGGAAAACCACCAAGAATTCGGAAAGCGCTCTTACAAAATTGTAAACTTAGTGGGGGACTGGCGCTGCCCAATTTTCAGTCATACTACTGGGCGGCTCGTGTTCATAAACTTTGCTACTGGCTGCAATCGTCTAGTTTACCTTGGTGTAAATTGGGATTATCATCTTGCATCGGATCTTCGATATCTGCCTTAATTTATCCCTCCTTATCTATAAAACTTTCAAGTCACACAGACAATCTGATTGTCTACAACACACTTAGGATTTGGTTTCAGTTCAGGCAGCGCTTTAAATACCAAGCCGCCTCTCCTTTAGGCCCTTTATGTAACAATCATTTGTTCCCTCCCTCTCTTATGGACTCAACATTCATATCATGACATAATAAAGATATAAAACAGCTCACAAATCTCTATGCATATGGGATCTTCGAAAGCTTTGCTAATTTATCTCATAATTATAAGCTTCCGATTAATCATTTGTTTCAGTACTTTCAGATCCGTAGTTGGTCTCCAAGCTCTTCCCCAGCTTCCCATTTCGGCCCCCAAACCAACTTTGGGAGGATTTACTTGCACACACTCCACATCAAAAAGGTTTGATAGCAAAAATATATAATATCATACTTCCATTAACTTGTCAATCAAACACAAGGATCAAAAACTCATGGGAGATCGAGTTGGGGATTCGTATTTCTGATGATGTGGTATTCATTCAGACCAGATTCCAAACTTCATTCCCATTTCTTTTTTTTTCTTTTTCTGTCTTTTTTTATTTGATTACTTGAAAAACGTGAATATATACAACTATGTACAAATATATACACTCCTTTTGGTTTTTCATCTTCGTATGTGTATACTCACTGAAAATGTCAATGACGTTCTGTATTGTATTGTCTTTGACTGTGATGATAATAAAAAAAATATATGTATATAAAAAGGCGACTCTAAAAATATCTCAAGCTCCTTTTTCAGTTACCAACAACTCAGTATTACAGTGAAATGTGTGTGTGAAGTAAATAATGGGTTAATTGTAGCGTTTTACTTCATTTAATGAGTCATTCAGAACTATAACAGCAAGCTAATAGCAGGATGGTAAACAACCACACTTCCTCTAGTGCCGGAGACAAACTACTATAATACGTGTAGTAAGTGCTCCCTACCATAAATCGTGCAAGAGCGCTAGCACCAAATATGACAATGTATTTATATACTTATAAACTGAATGTATATGACACATCTTTGCTCGTCAATTAGAATTTTCTGGTGCTGATCCGTAACTGGAAACAGTCACGAAACTCTTGGAACGGCAGTGAGTGTCCTACTTTTGATTAAAAATGGACTGCAGTACCGACAACTGACCACAGGATGTCGTGCTTACAAATTGCACCTTTAAGTGAACGTTGTAGTTTTAGTGTTTGCAGAATGAGTGAGTTTCCTCTAGAGAGCTGGTTTTGTATTATTTAGTACGTCTCTGCTGAGCTCCAGGTAAGACTTAACCTGTTCTTACTATGCTGTGATTTACTTTATTCTTCATAAGGGAGCATGTGAGAATCCTCTCCTCATCATTCCGGCTCCATACACCACACCTCATGCTAGGGACACACACTTTAGGAGGCTGCCCTGGTTTGAGAAGACCTCAGGGCTCTCACCTTCAGCCACTCCCCAGGGGTACTGCCTCCCACGAGCTCTCTTTCCATTCACCTCGATGATGGTGTTGCTACCAATGACAGCAAGCGGTAAACGGTCCTGCAGAGGGGATGGAGGGACACAGGCTGCTGTGATTTACACAAGGGCTGTGGACGTCACGGAAACTAAACAGAAAAACCGTTTGATCACATGAAAACGTGTCAAAGCGGAGTGTTCGGGGGACCTTGATTCTTCTGATCATCTTCATCTCCTCCTCATCGTCCGTCTCTGGGAAGTCGTAGATTTTGATTTTATGCTCATGGATTTCATTCATTATCTGCATGTGACACAAAGACAACAGGGGGTGGGGGAGAGCTCCATGTGGGTCGGACATCGATTCTGGTTTGTCAATAAAGAGTTCAGCTCTGGTAAACACAATCAGGCCACATGGACACAGACGGACGTGACATCATAAAGGAGTTTAAAGAGACATTGCAGCCATTCTGAAGTCTGATTGTTGGTAAAAGTTTTTCAGATGCAGAACCAGCGGCCCAGCTACAACACACACACACACACACACACACACACACACACACACACACACACACACACACACACACACACACACACACACACACACACACACACACACACACACACACACACACACACACACACACACACACACACACACACACACACACACACACACACACACACACACACACACACACACACACACACACCTGTCTTTTGAACTGCTGGCACTCCCCAGGAGTCATGGTGTCGGCCTTGGCGATGAGTGGAATGACGTTGACCTTTTCATGTAATCGTTTCATAAACTCGATGTCTAGAGGCTTCAGCCTGGAACAACACAACCAAAAACAGTCCGTTTAGTTTTACTCTAAGAGATAAAACAACACACACACACACACACAAACGCATGCACACGCACGCACACACACACACACACACACACACACACACACACACACACACACACACACACACACACACACACACACACACGCACACATGCACACACACACATGGAATGTTTCCTTTTAGCTTGAAGGCTGCTCCCCGGCTGCCACACCAGGTCACTGTGGTCCAGCTGGTCCAGCTAGCTTTGGACTGTGAGATTACCTCCTGGAATGTGTCCCAGTGTGAGTGAGACGGCTGTGTGTATATTTGGCAGCAGTCACAGTCTGACATGGACAAGGTCTACAGGTGGTGAAGCTCAGAGAGGATCACACCAGTATTATTCCAGGCTGTTGTTCCTGCAGGAGGCCACCAGCTGAGCTGGGTGTTCCTGAACATCTATCTTCTAACTTGTCAAGCGCCACACTTTAGAGATAATAGAAGAACTCAAGCTGACAGATTCTTCTGACTTTCATATCAAAGCATGTATTACTGTTATTCATAATATTGTGATAACGTAAAAAACAGGGACAAAGTGAACTGAATTATAATACTATTTGAACTGTGCTCGTCTTCAAGCTGTGTTTTATTTCTGATGTAAAATTATCTGTTTAATATCTTTATTTTCAGGCATGATTAATAATAATAATGCATTTTATTTATAACTGCCTTTCACGAAACACAAGGACCCTTTGCAGCAATAAAACGAGCGACGACTTAAAAACAACAGAAACCTGAAAAAGTACAAATGGGACTAGAAGGAATACCATTTGGACTAGGATCAATTATAATGTTTCTATGGAAAATAGGAATTACAGACAGGTGCTGGTAATTACATGTAAAAATTATATATTAGAAAAGCCGACCAATATGGTTTTTTTAAGGCTGATGATGATACTGATTTATAAAGAATTTTGTTGCCGATATATTTACGTTTTAGCAGCACATTGATTGTGAAAGACAACTGAACACTCACTGTGTAATACATAAACTACATAAGTCAATATATCTCTTAATATTTATTGAACTTCAAAGATAAAACAAAGTCAAAACATTAACAATGTGCAAACTGTTTCAGAACAAACGAAAATAAAACAGTTTTTTAAGTGTTTAAAACCCAGAAAAATGGTGCTAATTAGTGGCTGGTTGAGGTAAAATCATCAAGTAAAAGAGGAAACCACAAAGTAAAGCAAACTAGCACATTGTAGTAAATAATACTATCTAAACTACACATAAAATAGTGCAAAGTAACATCAGGCTTAAAGAGATATTCCACTCAGAAGTAAAATGTGTTTGCTAGATCTCCCAGAGTTGGATAAGAGGTAAAAGGATTTTGTAGCTAACAAGCTAACAAGCTAACAAGTCATTCTCCTGATCTGGAAGCAGCACGTTTTGCTTTAGCTTAGCATAAAGCTATGTAAGGAGAAGGAAGGTTCTAACATTGAACAACATCTTACTTAGGGGTGGAATATTCCCTTAGGTGTAAACAATTAAAAAAGCACCTGATTTTTTTTAAATCGGCTTTTAAAAATTATTTCGGCCGATGGCCGATATAGAAAAAGTTGAGTGCATCAGTCGGCCTCTAATTATTAATAAATTTATTTAAATAATTTATTAGCTGTAGTGGAGCCTGGTGTCATCGACTTGAATAATTTTTCAGGTTAGCTGCTAAACCTTATGACGGCCACGCATATACAGAGTTTGTTCTATTAAAGTCCTGTTGAATACTCGGAGTTGATGCATTTTAATGAGCTTCCCCTGCACGTCTACGCGGGCTACAGAGTATGAGCAACATCTGGTATGATCGGCTCTGAAAGGCATTGATCGGATTTTGACAAGCACACGTTTTATTTTCCACAGACATCGGCAGATTTGAACGGTGGCCTGTCGATCGGAACATTCCTAATAAATACCCCTCATTTTCCCAGAATGCACTGAGCCCCGTGTTCTGTTCTGTCAAAAACAAAATGTGTTTGTGGAGTCTGATAAAAAAAACTTGCTGATCTAAAATATACTTCTAATGCATTGAAGATGGCGAAACAGCTGGAGGACTGAGCGGCACCTACCCGTGTCCTGATGGGGCGATGAAATACAGGCAGCATTGCACTCTGTTGTCAGGCATTTGCCGTCTGTTGACCCGTGACTCTGCGTTTAGGTAATCTTCAAACTTTGAGTCTATGTAGTCGATGACGGGCTGCCAGCTGAGGGTCAGACATCAAATTAATATTAGCTACAGTAAAAACCAAAACTACGGTGCTGAGGTTTTATGTATCAGAACATCACAGATCTTCTCCCAGTTCACTGCGGCAACTCGGACAAAAACCCAGAGCCTGCTCAGAGAAGGACATGCTTATAAAGAAAAGAAATGTTCCAACAGACTGCTAAATGTCAGGATGTCGCAGTCTCCTGCAGCACCTGAGCCTACAGGTGTTGAGCAGGGAAAAGTTAGCCTGCTGGCCGTGGCGCATGCCTACGCTGATACAAGAACGCTCCAGTATCCAGCAGACCCAGCTGCAAATTGAGGACATAAACAACTTAAAATACGAGCAAAGCCGCTAATTTTAACCACATTTATAAAATAACATGCTTTTGTTATCCATCTACTTCTTAAACAAGTGAAACCTAAAGGAGAACGTGGATGCAATCTCCTTTTTTCTTTCCCAATTTCATAGCATTGCTGAAGTAAAGGATCAGGACTCGGTATTGACCCGGACTCAGGTCGAGAGCCAAATAACTAACAAAACCATAAACAATTAATGTAATAAAGTTCCTTATTTGAAGTAAAATATTATAAGACTGGTAACTAAATGAAAAAGTGTTTGAAGTGCTTTTATGATCTGAAATTTAAATTTAAAAACATGTAGATAAATTAAATAGGTCATCTAAATTATCAGTACAAATGTTTTAAGGGGTTAATATCTCATGGCTAAATGTCTTATGGAGCATCTCTACTAGAGTAGCTCTGCGCTGGACCCATCATGTGGCTGGAGTAGAGCCATGCAGACTGCTATGAAGCGACCAGACACGCCGATAGCTATTGCTGGTGCAGCTGTAGCCTCGCTGAAATAAAACAGGAAAAACAAGAGTTTGGAAGAAAAACAGACACAGCAAATGGCAACATGAAGGCCTGAGTAGTTCAGTCATGTGGACGTTATTTTCAGACTTTTAAATTTGGACAAAAAAAGTAGCATGTATCTCTAAATAGATTGAGCGCACGGTCCAACAAAAATGGGGAATATCACCAGTTTTAGCACCTGAACCAGTGCCGTGTGCTGGAGCAGCAGAAAGTAAACAGTTACAACCCCAGACAAGAGCGACCGACAGTGGAGCTACGCCTGCCAAGCTAGCAGACACGGGGTTAACTCGGGCAGGACATTTTAAACAATGTCCATCCATGCTGCAGATGTGTATCTATCTGTATCTTCCTACCGTTGATCTGGAAGGTGTAGAGTGGCATTATACAGGCCTTTTGAGACCTGATGAGCAGAAGATGTTTATGATGGCAAGATAAATAAAACCCAAATGGTTAGAGGGAACTTCTATATGTTTGTTTTGTCTATAACAACATGTAATCAGCAACAGATAAATGAACTCACCAGCTGCTGTTGTCTACAGCATCCCCAAAGCCGGGCGTGTCAACGATGGTCAGAAGAAGCTGCACTCCTCCTTCCTTTACCAGAACCTTTGACTGTTCCACCTTCAAGCAACAAACATGAGTAAAGGTCTCAGACCAGCTTTTTGCTAGTGCCATCATGAATGTAGAACATCTAACTTTAAAATACTTTTCCAACATATGCATAGTGCTGGGCAATAACATTAATATTCAAATAAGGTTGATACACACACGCACGCACACACGCACGCACACACACACATACACACAGTGTGTCATCACCCCGCTTCTCCTCCAGCTTCACTGGCTGCCAGTCAACTGCAGGGTTCATTTCAAGATCCTGGTTCTAGTCTATAGGGCCTTACATGGACAAGCACCATCTTACATTGGTGATCTTCTTAGTCCCTACACCCCCAGCAGGTCCCTGGGGTCCAGTGATCAAAGCCTACTGGTTGTGCAGCACCAGGCTAAAGACCAAAAGTGACAGATCATTTGCTGCTGTGGCCCCCAGACTCTGGACCTCTCTCCTCCTGAACCTGAGATCAGTGGACTCAGTGGTTTCCTTTAAAAAGCAGCTGAAGACTCACCTGTTCAAGCTGGCTTTTGTATGACCTTCATCACCACTCTCTCTTTATTCTGCTCTCCCCACCTATTCCACCTTCCTCAGGATCCACTGATGTCCCTCTTTCCTATTCACTCTCTCTCTTTCTTAACTTTTTTTTAATCACAACAGTCTATTTTTGCTCATTTTAAATATATTTTTAACCATTTTCTAAATGCTTTTTTATATTTTTACATTTTTTTGAAGCGCCTCGTGATTTTTATCTTGAGAGGCGCTATAGAAATGATATTTTCTTCTTCTTCACACACGCACGCACGCACGCACGCACACACGCACACACACACACACACACACACACACATTTTGTGTTGAAATGCGCTGAAAGCTGACGACTACACTCCCGTCAGTCAAGCAGACAGAATATTATTAATTCAGTCCTATGCAGGATTAGATTATACTAGTTTGTAACAGTTACGTCAAATCTTTTCAACGCAGGATTAATGCACAGGCTTCTAATTTTTTTGGACCTCACCTGTGATAAAGTCTGAACAATATTTCCTCCATGTTTTAAGAAAGTTAGTCTCTGAATCCAGCTCCACTCTCTTTACTGTCTAAGTGAGTAACTCTGTGCTGCTCAAGACCAACCGGAGACAAATGGGATCAATCTCAACCTTTTATTAATGCTATCAATAAAAAATGCAGCAAAGCATCATTTAACCTGCAGGTATTTGCTACTGAAGCAACATCTGAGTGAATGAAATACAAGAAAAAGGAATCAGTTTTCAGGAAAACAGGAAGAAATTTTTCTGCTTTTACATTTTTCACTTCAGTTCAAACACTTTTAAAATTTTATTTTATTGAAAATATCTTCTTTATTCATGTTGTGAGAATATTTGTGTTGCATTGTTTGGAGAAAGAAGGTTTTGTACTTTTTTGTTTAATACGGTTGTTTAATGTCCTTTAAAGTGACAGCATGTATTTTTCCTGGTGATAGGGGAAGTAGATACCAAAATTGTAGCAAGCAAGCAGTATTTTAGTGTTGGAGTAAGACCTTGCCCACGGATGCCCATTAGGGTCAAAAAGCCCTGGGGAGTGCAAACTTCAACAAAATAACGAGCACATCAGACTCCCTTTCATCACTGGCAACAAGTGAAGCGGTAAATATGTAAAACAACAATGTTTAAGAATGGTGAAAGTTCTGTAATCGTTTGTTACAAATCAGTAAATGCATTTTGTCCTCATGGGCTCCCATAGAAGGAAACATGGCATTTAAAATGGCGTCATCCAGATACTTGGTGTGCTTCTTAATGCCAACGAACCTCGCCTTGATGTCTTGGCCCCACCCCAGTTGCCTAGGAGATACGTCATCAGGCGTGTTCCAATGATCATGTTCTACCGAAGCGTCTGTTCTCCGTTTGTTAGCAGTTTAGCTAGCTGAGCAAGGATACATGGGAGGTGTCTTGTAGCCTAGCCTTGGTCAAAAATTACCCAGAATACACTGCAGTATTTTCAAAAGGATGGCGGATCAGAAAATGGCAGCTACTTCGGGGGCAAATTTCAAGTTTAAAAGTAAGTCAACTAATTTAAAATGTTTTGTTTTAGATGCAAATAAGTTATCTTTTTAATTAAAAAAGTAAAGGTTCGTTATATATTTATATTGAAACGTATACGTATAAAATATAACGTCATCTCCTGTGTCGTGATGTTACGTGACCGCCATGGAAGCCGTGGTCACGTGATGCTAGTCTGTTCCATTTAACCATTTTCTTTGACCAAGGAAGGACAGTGCCCTCGTAAGCAAGGCTCCTGGACTCGCAATACATCGCCTCGCAAGGCCAGGCGCCTTGACATTGAGAAACACCCTTAGACCCACTCCCATGTATTTTAGACCTGATTTTTATGGTTATACATTATAAAGCCGCCAATATTTTTCAACAACTGGGCATTATTTCATTCATTTTCAGCAACACTTGGTGGATATTTCCAAAGATGAACGGTAAAAACTACACATTGTCTCTTTAAATTGCAATTTGTACGTTATAGAGGTGATTGTTCTACTGTGAAGAATCGAGCCTGTGAGAATGTTCAAAAACATCATTTTGACCCATATTAACAGAAGAATATATTGCAATAAATATCGTTACTGAATGCGCATTGGCAATATAGATTTGAGGACTTATTGCTCATCTTATCAACCCAATCTTTGTCTTTTTGGATTACACTAGAAATGGGCTGTCCTGGTTCTTGAGTGATGCTATCCTGCATGTTTTAGTTGTTTCCCTGATTTTAATAATGGGTTATTAGCAGGCTTCTATAGGGCCTGATAACCTGGTGAAAAGGTGACTCAACCATTGAATTAGATGAAACAACTAAAGCACACAGGATTACCTAGCCCTGAAATACAATGGGATGCAAAATGTTTGGGCAGCCTCGTTAATCTTCATGATTTTCCAGCATAAATCGTTGGTGATAAAAATGTCTGTTAAATATATCATATAGGAGGCACACACAGTGGTATTTGAGAAGAAGTTTATACGACTTACAGAAAGAGTGCAATAATTGTTTATAATAAATAAGGCAGGTGCATACATTTGGGCACTGTTGTCAATTTATTGATTCCAAATCTAAAATTTTAGAACTAATTACTGAAACTCAAAATTGGATTGGTAAGCTCAGTGACCTTTGACCTCTACACAGGTGAATCCACTTATGAGTATTTAAGGAGGCCAAGGGTAAGTTTCCCTGCTCTTTAAATATTCTCTGAAGAGCAGAAACATGGGGTCTCAGAACAACTCTCACATGAGCTGAAAACAAAGACTGTTCACCATCATAGGGGAAGGATCCAGAACGCTGTCTCAGAGATTTCAGCTTTCTGTTTCCACAGTAAGGAACATATTGAGGAAAGGGAAGACCTCAGGTACAGTTCTAGTTAAGGCTCCAAGTGGCAGACCAAGAAAAATCTCAGATAAAAAAGTTAAGAATGGTGAGAAGTTGAGAACAGTCAAGAGTCAACCGACAGACCATTACCAAATACCTACATCAACTTGCTGCACAGGGTTTCCCTTACATAGGCGTAGCCATGTCGGGCCGCCACGGCTGAAATCCCACCGCCACGCCTACAAGATCCCAAGTTTTTTTTTGTTTTGTTTTGTTTTAGCGCTGTTTCCCGAAGAAGCAGCGGGAACTACTATGTTGTTGCTTGTGATCACAGCCAGCGGGCAGCAAGGAGGAGCAGGCAGGGCAAGGTGAAGTTACAGCATAAGTTACTGAGTTTAAAATTAGAAAGGTAGCAGTGGATATAACGCTTTTTGGTTTACATGTTTCAATAGCATTAAGATAAACGAGTGCTGACGATCTTGACAGGGTTTCCTCCAGTGGTTATTAGGCCAGGTTCTCCTCCCCCCACCAGGCTAATCATCACTTATTCATGTAAAATTTATTTATTTTTTCATGTCTGACTTTAACCGCATCTAATACTGTATTACGATGTGAGCGCAACAGCGACAACTTAAGATCGATGTGTGAGCAGCCTGAGAGGTCGGGTGTTTTCATCGGAACCCTTAAAACCTCCAGCAGGCTACGCTGCACTATTGACGTGTTAGCAACTTAGCGACGTGACATGTCTCGGAGAAAGCATAAAAACACGTTGGACGCTTCTTCTGAAGCGGGAAAATAACACCTCTTCTTAAGCAGAGCACGACGTCGCCTCGGCTCGTTCACGGCCGAGCCGGTGTCGGTACAAGATCGGCTCGGGGTCCTTCGACTGCCGATGACGTCAAAGTACGGCAAACCCACTTGGTCAAAATACACTACACATCTCTACTGTTGGAAAGAATTTAGCGGTTTCGTTATTAAAATAATGTTTCTTAAGACGTAAGTTTGTGTTTATTATGGTATTTGTAAAATAAAACACAATTTTATTTACTCTTTGAGCACATCCCTTGAAGGATTATAGGTATTAGCAACACCTGTGAAATTGTATTTGCAGGAAAGAAGTGTGTCCCGTTTATTGAAGTATTTTGTGTTTAGTTTTTGACGTCTTGTCCATGCGTAGTTCAGGTACGCTCCCTAGCTGCTAGCCAAAACTCTGGAGTTAAAAGTTTTCTGGCTTTACTAAAATACCTGTCTGTACTTATTTGATCGATGGTAGTTTTACTTTCTATTAGACTCCAAATGTAATCATTTGGCACGTTTCTAATTCATAATTTGTAAGAATGTAATCGGTGATATTATTATTAGCATTTCTATGGGTTTTTCGACGCATGTTAGCATTGTGCTAACCACTCGCTGCCAAATTGCAGCCTTTGCGATTAGAAAATCTCCTTTTGTCACATCGCAATTTAATTGCACATGCAGTTAATCGTTCAGCCCTAATATACATGCAGCTCTATGCTAAAAGTGTATTTTCAAAGAGGTAATGATGGATTTCTTTGTAAAAGTTGTCCATCTTTCCATCAGAAAGAGTTGCCTGGACCAGCGTAACGTGATAACAACGTAATGTGATTATGTAATTCCATAAGGT